GAATTTAGAATAAATTGAATTCTGATACTTTCTATCAGTTAAATTTTCTTAACTGACTTCAAAATAGCTTATTGATTCAGTCTCTTTTCCCCCAAAGAGGTAAGAACAAAATATATATGATTGAATATTGGTACTTTGATTTTTACAAAGTAGAATGATAGTGTCTTTAGGTTTATAACAGAGAAATTTTAATTTTTTTTTATAATTTAGTTTTCTCCAGGTAGAATTCTGTTTTTTTTTAAAGGTAGAGAAAGGTAGAAAATAAAAACTTTTTCTAAAATTGCCCAGTATATCATAGGATCTTAGAGTTAGAAGTGACCATATAGGTCGTTTAGTTACTACCCCCTTATTTTACAAATGAGAAGCTAGTTAGACGTGGGACTACAACTCCGGTCTTTTGACTTAGAATTATTGTTTTTTTAATGTTTATTTTAGATTATATCAGTTGAAAGGAAAGGTTTATTCCTTAATGAGTGATATTCGTTTTATTTCTTATGCAGTAGTGATTGTCTTTTCTTATGAGTTGTTTATGCACCTACCTTCTTCCCCTTGCCTCCTTTTTAATTATACTTCAGAAAGTGGAAGCACAAGAACGAGAGGATGTTCTGGCCGGAATGGCTGGAAAAGCAATAAAAGGTAAAGTTGGCAAACCTAAGGTGAAGAAACTTCAATTGGAAGAGACAATGCCCTCACCTTATGGGAGAAGAATAGTTCCTGAAATTACTGCTATGAAGGCAGATGTCAGCAAAAAGTTGCTGAAGAAGAAAAAGGTATGACACATCTCTTGTTTTAGCTCATTGGTAGATTCCATCTTCATAATGATGTATATATGTATTTTAATTTTACTGTGTGCTTAAGTCATGCTTTGTTTCTATTTCACTGTGATAGGCAATCATTTGTTCTATGAGATCAGTTGGTCCACAGAAAGAAAACATAAGTCAGGGATCCACATACATGTAAGGAGTTACTTAGTTGATTCTGTTTTTTTTAATTCCTTCCTTCCTTCCTTCCTCTCTCTCTCAAGATTTTATTTATTTGAAAGAGAGAGACACAGCGAGAGAGGGAATACAAGCAGTGGGAGAGGGAGAAGCAGGCTTCCCGCTGAGCAGGGAGCCCAATGTGGGGCTCGATCCCAGGACCCTGGGATCATGACCTGAGCCGAAGGCAGATGCTTAACGACTGAGCCACCCAAGCGCCCCTTGATTCTGTTTTTAAAATGAGAGAAATACTCTATTCAGCAGCATTCTACCTTAAAATCATGGAATGACAACCAAAAAAGTGTATCAGCTTAAAAATGAAACTTTAATTCTACATTATTGACCAATTCAAGACGTCTCATAAGCAGAAAAGGGTCTGTGTGGTTTTCAAAGTAAGCTATTTTTTTTTACTATTTATTTGTTATTACTGTTAGTTAAAAAAAATTACCAGGCACCTCTTATGTCATTGGCATTGACTGGTGCTATTGAGGATTTAAAAGTATGGGATTTACCTACCCTCCAGCAGGTTGGGCAAGAGTTAGCCAGAAGAAGGAAACACTGAGAGGGCTGTTCATAGTTGAGGGAAGAGGAGGCATGCTGGTCTGAAAGAGAGAGGCAGATTTTTCTGGGCAGGTTGATTTTAGAACCCAGGGGATATGTAGATATGTCCAGTAGTCTAATTAGAGCTTGGGAAATGAACCTCAGAGTTGGAGTGAGAGGGTTGGAGAGTTCTCTGCCGAACGAATATTTGAAAGCATAGGAACATTGTGATGCCAAAGAGATCACTCTCTTCAAACTGTTGTGATAAACTGACATCTATACTATTTCCTTCTTACGTAGCTTCCTACCACACATTGGTTCCTCTTTAGGAAATGACTTCTCTCCTTTTCGCTTGGTGTTCTTAGCACTCTTTACCTTACTTAGTCTCAAGTAACCTCATCTATGCCCAGAGCTTTTTTCACTCACACTGATGACTCTTAAATCTGTGTCCCTAAGCTGTAATGTTTTCAGGAGGGCCAGGATAATAAAGCCACCTGAATGCCCACTGCCCAAACTCCACATATCTGAAGCTGAGCCCATTATCCTGATTTCAAGACCTCTTTCACCCCTGTGCGTTATCAGCCATCACTAACAAGTCCAAAACCTGGGACTTGCTCATTTAATCAGTAACTAAATCCTATTGACTGCCTCTGAAGCAATTCCAAAATCCACCCTCTTATCTTCATCCCCATTGATACTGTCTTAGAATTCCATAAATTTTCTGACAGTAGTGTTCCTCTTAATTAGTCTTCCTGTCTCTCGTGATCTTATCATGACTTCTACTTTTTTCCACTTCATTCATCTCTGTCTAGTCTCTTATTACCCAAGTGATATTTCCAAAAATAAGTGATTATTGCACAAATGCTTAAAAGTTTTCAGTGACTCCCCACTGACTACACACAGATTCTGGTATTCAGTGATTTAGCAACTGCATGCCTTCCTATGTTTCTGTGTGGCTACTCTTTCCTCCAGTCCTAGCAGACTGTTTGTAATTCCCTAAATACAATGTGGCAATCGTGCCTCTGTATCTTTTGCAAACTGGGGTGCTCTTCCTTCCTTCCCTCTCCTCATTTAGCAAACATACATAATTCTTTCAAAACTCAATTAGAAAGGCTCCTTCTCGGGGCGCCTGGGTGGCTCAGTCGTTAAGCGTCTGCCTTCAGCTCAG